AGACCAGGTCATGACATTTAGAGAGAGACTGCTTCACAAAAACTTACAACAATATCTTTCAAGCCAGGAACTTGTCTTTCTGCTGTTAACACCAAGTATAATAACAGAAAGCTGCTCTACTCATCGGCTGGAGCATGCCTTATATAAACCTCAGAAAGGGTAAATGTTGGCTAGTCGTGGGCTATCTTCAGCCAGTGGAAAAATATGCCCAATGTTTCTATTGTACTTTTGCAGCTTTCCAAGAATTTTCACATAGCGTTGCATTAGATTGTCACAATAACCCTCTGAAGTCTGTCTTCCCTCTATTCTTTAGAGATGGGAAGTGTGAGGTGAGATAAGGAAAAGAGAAGACCAGTATGGAGTCATGACTTGTGTTTTTGGCACTAAGGATTTGCCATTATTTATTCTAAGGTGGAAAAAATACATGTGCTTTCGATATTGGTTACTAAGGGATATAATGTAGAACTTAAGCATGGGTACTTGAGTGTTTTTTCTATAACCTCTACAAAGAAGAAAGTAGTTCTTGATCCACCAAAATGAATTAACAGGAACTCCCCACAGGTTATATAAGCATTTTCATGGAACATGAGAATTAAGTTGAGGGCCAAGATTAGTTTTATTATTCATGGAAGATAGGCTAAATCTCCATAATATTGCCTTATTTTACATGTGCTAATCAGTGAAAATAGCCATTAAAATATTTTTTTCACACAATTATCTTAATGTTTGCACATATCGCAATGTTTAAAAGACATTTGCCTCAAGTCAGTATATTCTATCTTGGATAAATAGTAAGGAATGAGTTTTTTGTTGTTTAACCTTGTAGGAGAAAGGTAGTTGATAGTAACACGTAGTTACTAATTTTCACTATCCTGTTTATATACATACATTTTTTTATTNTTTTTTTTTTTGAGAGGGCATCTCTCATATTTATTGATCAAATGGTTGTTAACAACAATAAAATTCAGTATAGGGGGGTCAATGCTCAATGTACAATCATTAATCCATCTCAAGCCTAATTCTCGTCAGTCTCCAATCTTCTGAAGCATAACGAACAAGTTCTTACATGGTGAACGAATTCTTACATAGTGAATAAATTCTTACATGGTGAACAGTACAAGGGCATTCATCACAGAAACTTTCGGTTTTGATCATGCAATATGACCTATAAACAATCAGGTCAAATATGAATATTCGTTTGATTTTTGTACTTGATTTATATGTTGATCCCACATTTCTCCTATTATTATTATTATTTTTATTTTAAATAAAATGCTGAAGTGGTAGGTAGATGCAAGATAAAGGTAGAAAACATAATTTAGTGCTGTAAGAGGGCAAATGTAGATGATCAGGTCTGTGCCTATAGACTAAGTATTACTCCAAGCTAGACAAGGGCAACAAAACATCCACGGATGCAGAAGATTTCTCTCAGAACAGCGGGGGTGAGGTTCTAAGCCTCACCTCTGTTGATCCCCAATTTCTCACCTGATGGCCCCCCTGCGACTGTGCCTGTCTTAGGTTGTTCCTCCCTTGAGGAATCTTACCCGTCTCTGGCTAACCAGCCATCTTCCGGGGCCTTACAGGGAAACGTAAAGTTGGTAAGTGAGAGAGAAGCCATATTTGAAAAGGTTAGCTTTTTACTTCTTTGCAGATTTATGCCCTGTGGCTTCTATGCCCAGCATTTGTCTTGAGGTATCTTTACCACTTTATCCTGTTTATATTTTAAAACCTTATTTCTTCAGACTTTTCTACAGGATACCATTAGTGGTGGCCAATCTGGGCATGTCCGAACAACTGGGTTATAAAACTGTATCAGGTTCCTGTATGTCTGCTGGTTTTAGCCGAGCAGTAAAAACACACAGGTGAGATTCTTCAGCTACTTCCCCACTGAACTTACTCCTATTCAATTTTTGAAATTAATTTTTGTATTACACAAGCACAAAATAAAAATGAAAGAAATACTGACTGATGACTATATTACTGAAGTAAACCAGACTATTTTTATTTTCATAATTTTTTCTAGCACTTGTCCATTTATAAAATACAGAAGAGAGGCAAGTGTGGTTGTATATCCTGCATATTTTTACATATTTATTCTAAGAATAAGTAGCTAGCCTCGAATTAATAATTTCCTAAGGCAGCAGTTAAGGTTAAAGGCATGTAATTAGACTGGATATTAAATAGACAAAAAATGAAGCCTTGAGACTCATACTATAAGCTGCTAAGCTATAATTTTTTTGTGATCATTAAGGGAATAATTAATGTCAGAAATAATAACACTGGTACTGTATGACACAAAAGTATAAACTTCCTGATAGTAGGAACTAGATTTTATTTTTGTGTTCCCACAGTGCTTAACAGTGTCTTAGAAATTGAATACCACATTTCATTGATTCTAAAATGCTTAGTTTTACATTTACCTCAAATTGGGATGTTCTCCAAACCATGCCTTAGCATTTTTCCTTTGCGGTTTATAAAATAATGTTGCCTCTTTAAAGAGATGATGACTTAAATTCAGTAAAATATTTTTAAAATGGACTAACCCCCTGTCAAGAAAGAAACCTTTTCCCCCCTTCTTTCTTCAGTCTTTATCTCTTTTTACTTAGTCTTATTTTAGGGCTAGCAGTAGAACTCAGGAGGCTAAAAAGTTTGCTAATGTGAAGATAGATGAACTAGGTTTTCTGATTTGGTTTTACTGTATTCAATTAGGTTGACAAGATTACTGGTCCCTACAAAGCCAGAAAAAAGCATCTTCCATTGGTTCTCAACTACAAATAAGTTTTTCATTTTATCATGAAAGTGAGTCTGTATATTTGCTTGAGAAAATGGTTATTTTTTACAGCCCTGAATTTTTTACAGAAGATGGATCTTTAAAGGAGGTACATAAGATAAATGAAATGTATGCTTCTTTACAAGAGGAATTAAAGGTAAGTTAATATGTCAAACACGTAATGACTACTTCTAGAGTTCCTATCAAGTTGGTCACAATTTTTTAGAGATAACCTTTCATTTGATTAGATTTGTATTTTTGTATTAGTTTAGCTTCAGTAATAAGACCTCAATCTCAGTGGCCTACAAAAATAGAAATTTACTCTCACTTTATGTCTTGGCTGCAGCTGTTTTAAATTGTCATTCTCATTGTACAATCCAGACTGAAGGAGCAGCCCTTATGTCGGACATGCTCTTCTGATGCCAAAGAGAAAAGAGCAGAAAGGTGGTAAAAATTCATAGCAGCTTAGCAATTTTGGTCAGAGCTGGCATGTTACTTCCACTCACGTTTCATTCGCCAGAGGATGTCATGGCAACAGGCTTTTACAGGATTAACGGGAAGCACTATTTGGGAATGGAACAGTCTACCACAGTACTAAGTTCAATTTCATTGTGTCAGTTCAGGTCCTTTGGGAAGCAGACATCAAGATGGGATTAGACATACAAAAGAACTGGGCCTAAAAAAGATAAAGGGGGAAACAAGAGCAGGCAGGGAAACTTTAGTGCAAGTCTTACATCTGAAAAGGGAGACAGGTAAGGGAGGACATTTGGGTAGGGAGCCTTAGACTGCAGAGCCACAAGAGTTTCAGCTAGGCTGATGGGGAGTCTTTAAGCAAAGTTGACCTACAGGAATGGACTTGAGTACCTCCACTGTGCTTAGTATTGGCTAAGAGCTGCTTAAGGGAAGTGTATCCTAAGCACAAACACAGTAGTGGACTCAAAAGGATGGTAGCTGGGGTGTTAATTAACTATGCTTCCTCCAAATAGACATCTGAGTAGTATAATCCATGGCCACCATATTTATCAATATAGCACATTAAGAAAAATGGGGTTAATACTGTGGCACACTACTAATATCCCACACTATTTTTTCAGATGAATGATAACCTAGAAAACTGAATTACACCATTGTAGCTAAACTATTTTTACCTTGCTGGTCTCTAGTTTTCCCTCATGTATACATGCTTTTTCAGTTGACAGTGTGGAGACATAGAAATTTGTGTCATGATTTATATTTGTGTTGCCATATATCATTTTTAATGGCATTGTATTTCATTGAGCAATATATTAGAACTCCTACGATAAAAATACCAACTTGGGTGAAATAGGGAATGTAGAGCTATATTAACAGGAACTGTAGGCAGAGAGAAGCTGAGTTTCAGGAACTAACTGGAGCCAGGAGCTGGAGTGCCATCAGAACTTTTTCTCCCTTTGGGTCTGCAATTGGTTTCCTTCATAGTATCTACAGATCTGTTTATTCATCCACTGGCTGACCAGACAATGGCCAACCCACAGCTCCTGCATTTAAATCTCTTCTGTTCAAGATACTACGATTTGGCAGTTGGCTAAGTGATTCATCTCTGCTTGGGTCAGCTAGGGTGAAAGCTGGTGAGGGGTTGCTGGTGAACTCATGGCAGGGTGAACAAGTTCATGAGAAATACAGTGAGATACTAAAAAGTATGCACCAAAACTGGCTATATACCATCTTATTACCCATAACTAGAAATTAGTTTACTTTTGATTTTATTCTGAGAAACATCTTTTACAAATTTTTGTTGATATATTTCCAAAATGAAATCACTGAATCAAAGGGTATTAGTACATAAAATGTGACACATAAAGCCAGTTTGCTTTTCAGTAATAGGTTTTAACAGGAATTAACATTTCATAGGTTTTTTTTCATATCAGTAAAACATAGTCACTTTTATTTTTCATTTGTTGTCAGTTTCTTAATGGTAAATGTTTGCAGTAAATACACATGCATTTCAAAATAGATAGTATTTTGTTTCAAAGTGGGTTAAACATTTATTTCTGTGTCTCATCAAGGAAATAACTGGTATGATAAAGCTATAAATGAGAAGTGAATACATCTGCAGAGCATGTATTATTTAATGCAGTACCATACAATTGCTTATTGTTAAGTTCCTCAAGAAAACAGGGAAATAAAATTTTTAAAAAAGCAAATATTTGACATTATATGCTGTGAAGAATTTTAGTGCACGACTTGGAACTTGATCTATGCCCTCATTTTATTTTGCAGGATATATGCAAACAAGTAGAATACAGTGAGCAAGCAGTAGAGAAACTACTAACAGATGTAAACAGACTGAGACAAGAAATTAAAAAAAGAAAACAAGCACAGATTCAAGCAGCACGTAAGTAAAGTTCACACATTACTACCTTCTGTGCTTTAAAAAAAATTCTCACTGATGTGACCTATGGATGAGCCAGCTGCACTAAATGATGCATTTGTCCACCTTAGGACTAACTGTTTTATTAATACCTTTAAATCCTCCTGAACAAAGAACATGGTACTGTTAGAGCTATGCTATTCCCTTATTAAAAATATGTGACTTTTAATTTTCTCTTAGAATATTGTGCATATAAACTAAAATTAGGGGTTATACACACCATTTTTCTCAATTTAGATAGTTTGAAAGAATTGTTTTAAGTCTTTTATTATCAAATAGATATTACAAAAGCTTTGTAGAACAAATATTGTATGTTGAACTTTTCTTTTTATTTTGCTTAGGAGAGAAGACTGTTGTCCAAAAAGACCCTCAGGAGAACATTTTTCTTTGTCAAGCTTTACGGACTTTTCTTCCAGATTGTGACTTTCTTCATTCATGTGTTATCTCCTTGAAAAATAGCCGTATTTCTAAAAGTCGGTGTAATACCAGCCATCATCTCAATGAGGTAGACAACCTGACCTTAATGGTGGAATACACAGACATTCCTGAACCTAGTCCAGCTAGCAGTGCGCTGCAAAAGACCAAGCGTAAAGTTTTAGATACAGATGATGGATGGCAAGTTAAGAAGTCACGGCTGTTAGAGATACAAAACAAACCATTTAAAACAGATACTGATAGTAGTAGCCAAGAAAAAACATCCACAACAAGTAGCCCAGAAACAGATGAAGAGATAGAGAAAATGAAAGGTTCTGGTGAATATCCACAGTCACCTACATTTTGATCCTTTTAGGCCAAAAGATTTTTCATTGGCTGAAAGGTAAAGCCAAACATTTCTGTTGTTTTTACTATGTCCAATGATTTGCAGTTACACACAGTAAGTCCTAGTGCATTTATTTTATTAAGTACTTTTAAAAATACCAGATGCTCTTAGTCTAAAACTTTTTCTACTTTTACTAAACTGTTGGAAAAGTAAATATTCTTTTAAACTGGTACAGCACTCTTTAGAACTGGAAAAAGAACTAACCTTGTCTTCACAATGTAAGTCTAAAGTTAGTATGAAAAATTTAATTTTTATCTAACTCATTAACATTCCTTAAGTTATGAAAAATATTACATTTATGGCTAGGGTTATCAGATAAAATGCTGGACACCATACAATGTTATTACTTACATTAAAAAATTACCCATTGTTTAGCTGATAATTGAAATTTAATGGCATATCCTGTTTTATTTGTTAAATCTGGCAGTTCTGATATGGTATGACTGTAACGCAGCACAAATAGTAATCTCTCCCTTCCCTAGTCTACAGTCTTCTATACAGTATTGAGTGAATCCAGAATTTGAGTACTGTGCTTGGGATCAGTAGTTGTTCAGCTGTTTTAAAAGGCCAGTTAAAATGGGACTTGGAAATGACACATACCTATGTGTACATATATATAATGTCCATCACAGAGATTTAATTTTAACATAAGCAGAAGTGTACATTTGTCAACCTTTTGTTGTAGGGTCAGGGACTTTTCTGCAAGAATATTGCAATTCCAGTGTAAATTGCAACCATTACATAATCATTACAATTCCGTTTTAGTTTCTTTAAAGTGAACAATTTAAAGAAACTTGCAAAGTAACCTAAGTACAAAATGCTACTAGGTTTTTTCATTTCATAGCACCCTCCTACTCCCAGTCTTACTAAAGTGTCCTGACCACACCTAATTTGACAACTATTTTTTAAAGCTAGTTATCAAGTCTTTGCAAAGCATTTACTTAGTTTTTGTTCCAACAGTAACTTTTTCTTAAATGCTTATATTTCATCAACACAATTACAAATGCAACTGACATAGGTCTGGGAACAAAAGAGCACTCTTGGCAATGCAGAACTCAATAGGTTAGGAGAGTCCTGGGCTTCTGTATGATTTTAAAGGATGTAAAGTGCCAGTTTAATTCAGTGAGTTAAGTGGAAGTTGGCTAAGGGAACTCTTACCGTGGTTTTTTTTTGGTGTGTGTGTGTGTGTCTTTTCATAATTTTGAGAACTTTCCATTAAGCATATGCATGTTATATGAAGCCTTCATGTTTCACTCACTGGATGAAATGCTGAACAACACACTTTGTCCATTGCTATTCATGACAGAGAAAATTCACAGAATCAAGAACTGTCATCTTTTGTCTCTGTTAACATGCACTGGATACCATGGGGTGCTTACAAGGCCAAAATAAAACTAGAGATGATTTGTACAAATGAGTTTCTGTTGGGATTGTTTTACTGGGTACCTAAGCAGCACTGTGGTGGCATGCAGGGCAGAACGGAAATAGGCTGTCAGTCTGAACCCTAATTTAAAAATAACCACAGACATCACCAGATCATATAGAACTTGATATACAACATCAATGATTATTAAATGCAACCAAAACAAATCCACAAAATTGGAATCTGTTGGAAGATGTCAAGAGATGACCTTGAAGCTGGCCCTGGGCAGAGGCTCCTCAATCCTTCCTGTCCTTGGAATATACACTCTGCCTACTGTTTCCACAGTGGGAACTGTGCCAAGGACAAAGCCCTGAGAGAGTAAGATGCTGAGACCATATGAACTGTGTACATTACTGAACCCAGCTGAGTCCTCAACACAAACTTAAGATTCTGGTGGGTAGGTATGGAGATCTCGTCTTGTGGCCACCTAAGACAAGCCTCATATGTTCCTTTGCTTATTAAAGCTGCCACTTACCAATCTGGAGTAGTCTGCCTCTCTGGTCTTGCTCTTCAGGTGTGGAGCCAGTTTACTAACCAACATATCAACAGGCTAAACCAGAAACTGCAGAAGCAACAAGCAGTCAACATGCAAATGTCTTCTGAAGCCTGAGATTTTTCAGACTTAATCAAACTTGTCTAAATGGGCCTTCATACAGATAATTTGCCAACACACTCTAGAGAGGTACAAAAGTATTTAGCTCATTTTATACAGTGATCCATCTTCTTGAGGAAAGAAATCCTAAATTTTCAATCATAGGGAACTTGCTGAGGTCATTAGTACATAGCTAAACTTCCATAATTAAGTTTGATGATCCAACTTTCAACAAAAAGAGAGTCCCTAAAGGACACTTTTTTACCAATTACTCTCCATCTTTTGGCAATTAGTTTGTAGCCCTGGAGTAATAGAAGATGATGTAATTCATTGCCTATGAATCATTTTAAGGACACTACCAATTTCAAGATAAACTAGTCCACGAATAAATGTTAGGTCCTGTGTGACATCACCACTATCCATCCCCATGTACCTCTCTACAAAGCAAAGACCCACTGGGAGGAGGAGGGAAGTGGAAGGCTAGAGCATAGGGGAAGGTAGGGCATGTTAGAAACTCTTCCTAAGTATTTCAAGTCCACACCATGTCATGTGTGGTCTATACATTATACAAGCATTCCACTTTCCTGTACCCATATCCCTAAAATCCCGTCTTATCTGACAGAATCTGGGCCTAAAGTAAAATTCCAATACAAATCATCCTTTCCATTTTTTATACCCCAATATCAGTGGTAAGACTGTATGAGCTATTTGGGGACCAAATATAAGTGGCAACCCCACAATATCAATTCTTTTTAATTCAGGTGAGTAAAATGTAACAAGTTAACATTTTAAATTGGTTTTCTTTAATGAACATTTACTGGTACAGAAAGGAAGCCTCACTCCTGAAATACTTTTTCCTTGTAAGATTTCAAATTAAGAATTAAAAACTTAGTATTTCATAGTTTAAGATTTAGCCTATTAATTTTCTACCCAACAGTTATTAAATAAGTCTTATAGTTTGAGTCAATACAGCACTATACAACCACTTACTGTAAAGTAAGTTTATTGATGATAACCTTCACTCCCGATACTTGATGTTACAAACTTTAGGGTCTTTAAGATATGCAGGATCCTTGTATGTAACTGGCATAAACCCTGTAAAGAAACAATGAAAGTTCTTCACAAAGGACAATGACCAAATTTTGATTAGCCCAATTAAGTTTTTCAGATGCTCTTACCCATTATTTGAGCTCTTTTAATTGCTTTTGTAATTTCTCTTTGTTTCTTCCCACAAAGACCTATAAAAGAAATGCTTTCTTACTTATAAAGAGTGCCAGTATTCAAAATGTATTAACAACTGAAGCGTTGGAAACCTCTAAAGAGCCAGACAGTATCTTAGGCTTTGCAGACCGTACAGTTTCTGTCATAATTACTCAACTCCACTCACAAAACAGCCAGAGATAATACATAAACTAAGCTATTTACAAAAACAAGTGGCAGATCAAATTTGGCCTGCAAGCAATAAAATAGGTCTTTAGTTTCAATAGTCCAGGAATGACTATCACATATCCCAACACATCAATGCAGCTTTTAAGCCCAAGTTTGCTATGTGTTGTCAGCTTATAATTAAACCTAAGCATAAGAAGACATGCCAAGTAATAAAACTTTTGGCCTAAGGAGGCTTTCTCAAAGTATCCTTAGTATCTGGTCTAATAGTGATGTATAGTACAACTTGAAAATATAACAGTAGATGTATCTTCATTTAGGTTGCTATAAAATACCTGTTATGTGTCTTCCATAAATGCATCCAGTAAATGGAGAAATAAACTGGGACAAAAGCTGGAGTTTTATTTGGAAAAGAAAAAAAAGTTAATATATTTATTACTTAACCTTAATTGTATATATTTCAAAAAAACCTAAAACTTTGAAGTCATATAAGCATTTACTAATAAATTTCAACTTCATAAAATATGAATTAAAATACTGAACTAATCCTATTAACAGATCATCTTTGAAAATAAAAAGCTAAAGAAATTACTAAAGTCAACATTTGTATACAATGTGTCAAATTAATGAGCATATTCTTTCAGTGCTAAAGCTGTTTCCATAACTTTTCCATGCATACTTTTCTGAAATACTGCTGCTTTTAACAAGATCCTAAACATTTCATCGATCTTCATACACCATCACATATCAGATTATAAGGAGGTCTTTAGGAGGTACAGGTACATCAGGCCATTTGCTATAATTTATGTTTTATTAATATGACTTCTTCTTTAGCACTGTGCAGTACCAGGCACTGTTCTTGGCACTATGCATTATCCTCCTAATAAGCTGCATTTTAAAGTTTCTTGGTTTTTCTCCCACTATAGCAACTATCACTTTGTACTACTGTCAGTATATTTAACTCCACCATTTTCTCCCCTAAAGTTGCCACTTTTAACTTGCTGAGTGCTAGATAAGAGATAAAATTATATTTGAAGCAGTGATACTGATGCTGAGATACAGAAATCAACTTCACTGGGGCAGTTTTTTTCAAACTCTCAACTCCACCAACTAAGAATCGGTACCATAACGAGCTATTGTAAAGATGTTTGGGGTAGAGAAAAAAGAGGAAGAAACACTGAGCTGAAATGATAGCAAAAGAGGGAGAGCCAAGGGGCTACTGATGGAATAAAATAGCAATGCCTTATACACAGATGTAAGATTTAAAATTACGAAGTTGCTAAATGGTTGCCTCTACACAAAGCGTATTATAAAATTGACTTAATTCTCTTTAGTTAGGACTAATAAAGAAGCAAAATCCTAAAACAAAGTATTGTAATGAAATAAAGCAGATCTCACCTGTACATTCTTATAATCTACACGTTTTCCACATAATACACACTTCTTAAGAGGTTCCTTATAAGGATTTTCCATTGTAATGGGCTAGGATAAAGGGGAAAAAAAATCTCATTATACACTTTAATGTGCTAATTTTGAGTTAAAAAATAAATCTTAAGGTTACCACATTTATCTATGCAAAGAATTAGGTGTATCCTTTCTACTCTGAAGAAGAATAAATACAAAAGCTTGGCTTGTAAAAGAAAAATCAAGTGGTTCTGAAAAGGATTCACCATTTTAAAGATTTCAGTGAGCTCATACTTACTTTGTACATGTATTTTATTTCTAGTTTGGCTAAGGAGGAACTAAGCCATGGAGGATGATTCTGGGATAAAATGCAATCTTTGGAGAAAAAAGAGTTTATAAGGAGGAAAAAATTCAAGTCTACAGTGATTCTCTCCTCAAATGTTTTGCCCACACTGCAATTGACTAAACATTCTTAACTTAGATTTAAATTAAGAAAAACTTACAGTACAACAGATATTATATGTGAGTCTTAATACAATCCCTAAATCCATCCCTATATTTATCAGATGTTTTGTCACTATTTTTATGTTTATAAAAAGACAGTGCCCTCATGGCTTACTATAATAAGGTTCTCTGACTACAGTTTTGTGGCCCAGCCTGCTTTATAAGTTTGTATCAGCCTTTTTGTTTTTCTGTTTTCACTAGTACCTCTAATGCTTCTGTCACAATGACTCCCTACTATAATCAGTATAGTCTTGTCTCCACTCAAGAGAATCCTAATCTAGAAATGACTTTGAAGTCATTGAACCCCTAGAGTTGTAAGTGAAAATTCAAATGAATGGGACTGAGTATACCTTTTTCTGAAAGAGCCTGTAGCTTTCTGTATAGTCTCAGTGGGATATTTATGACCTAAAAGAAGCTCTAATAATTTCCTTTACTCTCTTAACTATGGTATGAATTAGATGACCAAGATGGATGTTCAGAGGGACTAGAGATCTTTTTCCCAACTCCTCAAACTTTCTTAATCCAACTTACAATCAGCTCATATGTAATAACTCATATGTAATAACTATGTTCCTTTTTTACACTGTGCTAAGTGCTTTGTATGGTCTGATTAGTGTCAAATTATTTTTGTATACAGCAAGAAAACTTCTACTGCCCAAGTCCAATGCTAGTACTTGAAATCCATAAAAATCCTTCTGTGGGTTACAAGAAACTGTAATTAATGTCCTAGTATACAACTTTAAATTTGACCCCTCATTTTTTAAGACAACTCTCACCCCAAATGTGATGAATATGGGCATAAAGAATTGAATTTGAAATGCAAAAGAGAGCCAAAGTACAGGTAAGCTCTATACAATCCTTTTATTGGATTTTCTGCCATTACTGCACCAATCAAAACTACCTTTTTTAATTTTCAAAGCACATATATTAACTTAAAGCCTTAAACTGACAATTCAGGATTAAAATACAATGTTACAGAAGCCATGCTTCTTGCTAGTAATCTAGGAATTCTCATTTCAAAGCTCACTTAAGTGACTACTCTTGAATGAATTATAATTTTCAAACTCAGACTGATTACTATATTGTTTTGTATTCCAGTTGAACTCTATTCAAATAGCTAATTAAAGAAGTTGGTCATATTTGCAAATGCAAATATGTGACTACTCATAAATAAATTATAATTTTCAAACTCAGACTGATTACTATATTGTTTTGTACTCCAGTTGAACTCTATTCAAATAGCTAACCAAAGAATTTGGCCATATTTGCAAATACCTTATAAAGAGAAAGAAAAAAAATTCTTACCAGGTCCTCATTGCTGGTTACTTGTTGATATTGTGAATAAAGTCTCCACAGCACTGCAATTAAACAAACAACAAACCAATTTGTTTTGTTAACTCACCAGCTAAGGAAAGGTTTTGTTTTTACTGAGGCAAGATGAATCAAGGGACACCAGAGAAAAGTTTTACATTCATTATACTCACAACGACTGAATAAAAACCTTTAGATTTGAGTTAGATTAAGACTTAAGACGATTGTGCTTTCCGGGGCTTTGGGGAGAAAACATGTATTTTCCCACCTATAAAATCTTTCACCTGCTCACTTCCTAAAATTTCTTTTCCCTTCACTCCAAGGTTAGAGACAGGTTTTAACGCAAATACGGGAGAAGCAACAGAAAAGCATTGTCATACCCAAGGGAAAGTAACAGATCACCTACAGAGGGTAGTTATTGGCAGGGAAGATTAAAGTTCAGAAAATAAGACTTGAGGGCGTCATTTTCCAATTTTGCCCTGACGTGGGACCTCAGACACCTGGAATTTGCTGCTGGGTGACTGGAAATGCCCCTTCCCTACCAAGTCTACCCGAGAACTTAGGCAAGTCCTTGCCTCTTTTTGGATAAGTCCTCCCATCACACCCTTCGTGTCAGAAAAAAAAAAAAAGCACTGGCTATCTAATGCCATCTTCATGTTTACGATACTAGTCACGGCTATCAGAGATTCCTTCCTATCTTGGAGAACCCCTGTATTGCCAAAACAGACGTCGTTCGCCTAGCATTGACCACTCCACCGACCTAATGAGGGCTAAAGGAACGGTTGCAATATGACAAAGGCGCATAGGATATAGAGACTTTACCCGCGTGAATCCCGGGCTCTGTGAGGCAGACAGGAGCCGTTACGATGGGCGTCAACGTTTTCCTTCCTAGACGGCAGCAAACAGCAGCCACAGTCGCCATGGCTCCTCACTCCTCCTCTTCCTTTTCTCCAAAGCGTCCTGACATGTCCCTTCCCGTACTCTTCCCCTGTTGACGCGAGTATTCCATTCAAAGGTTCCGTAGGCGAACGCGGAGAACACAGAGTGGGTGAGGTTTCCAATGCGCCTGCGCAGCACCATTTTGTTCTCGACCTTCCCGCCCCGCAAGCACAGGACACTTATGATTGGACAAGGAGAGGGCGGGCTTCTAACGCTTGTACCTCCGCTTCCGGTCCGATGGCCCTGACAATTGGCTTGTGGTCTTCCTTAAAGGTGCGGAGGTGAATGCAGTTTCTCCGGTTCCTACTCGCGCTGTCGCGCACTCACCGGATCACTGGGGTTTGGCAGCTGGGTCACAGGGCACGACTTCCGGGCAGGGCTCTCAGCCCTTGCCATGGAGGAAGGTGGTCCCCGCATCCGCCGGCGGGTGTCTGTTCGCAAAAGGAGCCGTCCTAGCATAGGGAGCAGTTTTGCCGCCCCTACCGCGGCCGAGCTCAAGCCCAGTGATGAGAAGGACCAAGGGGAGGAGGAGGAGGAGGAGGAGGAGAAGGAGGCTGGCAGCCGGCGGCGGCGAACCGTGGATGTGCGACCGGCCGAGGTACAGCGCGATCAGGGCTCACATTCCGTCGGTGCTTCTTCCTATTTCCACCGCTTGGGGCGGTGATACCAACCCAGGGCTCCCACTGTGCATGCCCTCTGAAAGAGGGCTGGGAAACCAGCTAGAAGGCACAGAACTTGAAACACCAAAATTTGGGCAGCTCCCTTCCCAACTGCAGGCAATCGACCAGTTACAGACTAGCTTTCATTTGCTTACCTCATCTTTGTTATTGCCGTTAATCCTCACTTGTGAGGTATATATGTGTATTTTTACATAGATGACGAAATGTAGACCCCGTGACAGAATTGTTTACGCAGCAAATAAAGTGGCATGACTGAGACGAAAACCAGACTTTCAAGTTACTGCCGTTCCTACTGTACTAATAAATTCTACCATTTATTGCAGACCCATTGTGTGCTGGGTATTTTGTTAAGCTATTTAGGTTGTCTTTTAGAACAGAAACCAAGCCCTGAGAAATCAAGAAACTACACTTCTGACGTAACTTATTTTTAATCACTTCACTATATTGTGCTATCTCCAAATTTACATTCAGTAAATACAGTCAGTGTGCAGACTCCCTCTCAGTTACAGATTCTGATGAAGAGAAACTGGAGAGTCCAGTGGTAGAAGCATTATATGTTTGTTACAGGCCAGTCTCTGTAGATTGGAGTCTGGGAGGAGAAGGGATACTGCTGTTATCAGAAGCGTCCAGTTAGAAAACATCCCAATAGATGCCTGTCAGTCTTGCTACCATTTTAAGGATTTAGTACTGGCTTAAGGATTAGTATTTCAGCGTCACCATTCGCTAGGAATGCAATTTAGGCGACTCACTTAACGTCTCAGGGTCTCCATTTCTTCTGTAAAATGAGGACGATAATGTCTAGCCATATGCGATCATATAATTACGTATCGGATACAGCCCAAGACTGAAACTTTTATTCTTAGTGAAGCTACAGTTGGCCATAAATATTTTTATTTTCTTTCCAGAATAATGACAGTGAAGAGGACATGTTTGGTGACTATGATAGCTTTGCTGAAAACTCTTTTTTAGCTCAAGTTGATGACCTGGAACAAAAATATATACAACTTGCTGAACATAGAAAACATGATACAGACCTTGCCACTGAAGATCTTTGTTCAGAGCGCATCAGACATAACAAACTCAGCATTGCTGCTGTAGACAGCTTGACTGAATTAAAAACAGATGAGCACACAAAGAACCCAAGTGGGCATGATGATGTCTGTATTGAACCTGGAGCTGATCTTTTGTTTGATGTGCCTTCTTCACAGGTTTTATACTTTGAAAATTTGCAGAACTCTTCAAATGATTTAGGCGATCTCTCTTCTAAAGAGAAAGATTGGAGCTCCTTCTCTCACAAGACTGTTAGTGAGAAATTGCTCCATAATAGCATAGCACAACCTCAGCAAGCGGATGATTCTGCCTCTAAGGTCAGAACTAGTTCAGATGTGAATAGGAGAAAAAGTCTTAAAGATCAAATAAAAAGTGCCATGACTGGAAATGCCAAGGCCCAAACACCAATATTTTCTAGGACTAAACAACTCAAAGAAACTCTCCTATCTGAAGAAATTAATGTTGCTAAGAAGACAATTGAGTCATCATCAGATGACCTTGGTCCTTTTTATTCCTTACCCAGCAAAGTGAGAGACCTTTATGTTCAGCTCAAGGGAATTGAAAAATTATACGGTAATGCTTTTTGCTAGAATGAAAAGAAACTGCCATCATAATAGTGCAAATCAACAGAGAGCAGATGTTTCCATGGTTATATTTCTCAACTTAAATCAAAATATCAGTCCTCTCTCAGCTTTCCATTTCTATCCTACTACCAAGCCTCCTTCCCTGCTGTTCATGGCATACTTCTCAAACCTTTTATCCTGCTACCTCCATTTCCTCACCTTGAGTAATTCCCAGTCCACTCCAACTTTGGATTCTGTGCTCTCACTTAAGGTGCAATGAGTAGGGTGTCTAAACCCTATGGTACTTTTAATTTTTACCTTCCCTGGCTTCTTAGTAGTTTACCTGACACAATCTACCAGACCCTTTCTTGACTTGACATTCCACTCCTGTTTCTTTGACAGTCTATCCACTCCCTTGTTTCCTTAGCTGGTGTTTCCTTGACTGACTCTGTCTTCTCTACCAAAACTTGGTTGCTGAAATTCCTCTAACCTCTCATATGTCTTGAGTGAAAGAAGTTAGTATTAGTGATTATTGATTTATTCATTAAAACTAAATATCTTTAAAGACAGATGACGTTTAAAGTGCAAAGAGATAGTATTAATAGCAATGTATCTTGTAATGTTTTTTAAAAATCCCAGGTCCTTGCATATATTTCAAATATGTGTCATTTTAGTTGCTGCTATCCTGAAAGATCAACCTATCAGCCAATCACTTCATAAATATTTTTGAAACTTTTCTATTAGTATCTTCTGAACCACATGAAAACATGGGTTCTCATCTTAGGGGGTAGACAATCAGGTTGGAAGTAGGACTGCAGGAAACAAAGTCTAATATAAGACTCTACAAGAGTCTAATAAATTCTAAATTGTGAGGTTCACAGTTTAATAGTTAAAGGTGTGTATTGCTGTTGAAGTAGATGTTAACTTCCCTCTGCTTTCCTCCTAGTACCTTGTTCTTTGTTTAGTGTTCATCTTCTGCCAGAGTGGGTACTCTGAGGACTGGACTCTAAGTCATCTTTTTCTTATGTAACTAACACTAGTGCCTGCTGGGTAGGTTCTCAACTGCTGGGGATTGTCAGCCTAGTTGTGAATGCTGGCCCTGTCACTCAAACACAGGTTTTGCACTCATAGCCCTAGTTCCTCATGTATTGAAAAGGGATGACAATAATAATTGTTTTGCAAGTTTTGTTCTGTGTCAGGACATGCCAAATTAGAGTAATGCCTGTCAGTAATTACATTGGCTACTTCTAAATAAGAATTTCAGTAAGTGACAACTTTTTAAATCTCTTACTTGTAAATCTGGCTTATTGACATGACCAATTTAAAAGATAAATATGTATGCTACTTTTCATTGAGTGAAAGCAGTCGTTCTCAAACTGCAGTTCCTGGACCTCAGCCTCAGCATCACTGTCACCTGGTAACTTGTTGAAATGTGTGTTCTCAGCCTCCACCCTAGACCTAGAACTTGGCGATCTGCTTTCACAAGCCCTTTAGGAGATTTTGATGTGCCTAAAGTTTGAGAACCACTGAGCTAGAGACCTTCACTCTTAGACTGTTACTTTTGCCTTTGTATCATAGAATTACATGCTTAATGTATTTTGTATAAATGTTCAGAACTAAGTTAATGTAACTTCTTTTAGTATCTGAATATAAATGATGTGCCTAAATATTTGTTATTTTGGTCTTTTTGTACTTTAAAAATCTAAGTTGGGTATGGTCAAGTTGTATTTTCACACAAACATCTGCGGTTTGATAACTAATGGGTAATACCAGTATGGAGTATTTTTTATTTTTAGGTATTAAATATTAAATATAAGTATTTAAGAATTTTAAAAATATTTTTAAAGAAAATAGTTACCTGCAAATATTTGGGAGTCACCAAAAAGGCATAATAAATTAAAGCCCTTGGCTATCATCAGATGTAACTAGTTTTAATAACTTAGTAATATATCCTATTAGTCATTTTTTATTTAAGTTGTTTAAAAACAAATGTTATATATTCAAGGCCACCTTTTCTATGCATATATTCTTTTCTAATATCTGTACCTAATGGGGTTCATACTATCCAACACATTTATTATGTCTTTTTTTTTACTTAACTGTCTCCTGAGCATATATATTTCAGTCTACCCCCCATTTTCAAGCTGCAAAAAATTAAATCATAAGATTGTATAAGAATTCATGCAACCTTTACCCCTTGATGGCTCATTACATATAAACAATGCTATGAAGAATACCTTCGCATAATCTGTATGTGCTTTTGCTTTTATTTCTACAGTTGTAGAGTCCTAAAAGTAATTCTGCTAGATCAAAGACAATATGCAGTTTTATTTTTCATACCAGTGGATTGCTTTCCAAAAAGATTGTAGCAGCTTTTGCTCTCATCAACCATATACAAGAATGCCTATTTGTTCCCATTCTTATCAGCTCTGGTTTTTACCTGTGTTTGGCTTTTTTTTCTTGTTAGTTTCTTGTTATTTATTTTGCCGACCCATTAGGAAACAGCTGGCATTTTTTCATGTATTCATTATCCATTTGCATTTCTTCCTGCTGTGAAATACACCTTTTGCCTGTTTTTCTAGTGATAAAATACTAATGCACATTTTGAAGACTTTTGAGGATCCACATTATCAAATTACTCTACAGAGTAGTTTTACTAGTTTTTATATCATGTTTTGGATCTGATGTGATCCTTTTCATGAATTCCACCTTGCTAAGTTGTATAAACCCTAGATATGCCAGTTAATAATCCTCATCTATGTTTTAAAGAGTCTTAAAATTTTAAATGGTACTCAGGCCATTCAAAGTTCAGCTCCCCATGAGAGAAAAAGTTGAGTAGTCTTCCTTGGTTTATGCAAAGCTTCATAGATTTTTTTGTCTATCCCTATTTCTCTGTAAGATAGTGTTTGGGTGAGTGGGGAAGGAAAGCTTCCATAATCTTGCAGAACAAAAGAGGAAGGCCTTGGAATTCACACAGATCCTTGTGCTGTCCTTTAGCTCCTCTAATGTCCCAGATGATACCTTTTGTCCAGCAGTCCACCGCCTGCCCTTCTGGAATTGGAGACTTAACATCTGTCGCTGCCCCACGGGTGGGCTATAGTTCCTACCCAGCTGACCAAGCCTGGATTGGACTCATCAGCTGTGCACATCACACATTGAAGATTTTTGACATTTAGTATTGATGTATAATTATGTTTGTCATTATGAGAAGACTACTATACAGGGTAGACTTTGATTTTTACTTCTTAGGAAACTTCCTTGAGATTGAGATTACAATAGGGGGAAATAATGCTTCTTTTCTAATTCTGCAGAATGGCAACATACTTGCTTAACATTGAATTCTGTGCAAGAAAGAAAAAATTTAATATATTCCTTGCCAACAAGTGGTGGAAAAACCCTCGTGGCTGAGATTTTAATACTGCAAGAATTGCTTTGCCGGCAGAAAGATGTCTTACTGATCCTACCATATGTGGCAATTGTCCAAGAAAAGGTGTGATTTTTTTTAAAAGTGGCATTTGCTAGTATTTTTACATTAAGATATAAAAACTATCATAAATCATAATTTTATTGACTGAGAAGAGGCATCTATTAATGAAGAATTATTTTTAGTATGTGCAAAAGCAGTATCGAATACTCAATAAAAATCCTTTTTAATGCCAATTACATGTTGAAGAAAGTTTAATTTTTTTCTGAACTGGTGAATTAAACTATTTTTAAATGTTCTATTCATATTTAGCCTGATTTTTTAAAAGAACTATTTTATAAAAACAAATTACTTATTCCAAACTTTTTTTACATCAGAGGAAACCATTGAAATTTATTTTCACATTTATTATGTAGTTTAAAAGTTGCATTAATTTTGTAAACAACACATCATGACATTTGTTAGAGATGTGTGTGTGTGTGTGTGTGTGTGTATCTGTGACCTTGTTCCTGATTAGTATTAAACACTTCTTGATTTTTTTAAATTCCTGTGAGAATTTAGTAATTCTAGTCCTCATTAGTTTATTTTAACTAATATTTTAGATTTCAGGTTTGTCAAGTTTTGGTGTAGAACTGGGTTTCTTTGTTGAAGAATATGCTGGAAGCAAAGGAAAATTTCCTCCAATTAAAAGAAGGGAAAAGAAATCACTTTATATTGCCACTATTGAAAAAGGACATAGTCTGGTGAACTCCTTGATTGAAACTGAAAGGATTAACAGTCTGGGTCTGGTTGTGGTAGATGAGGTTAGTTACTACTTTTATAATTTATCAGCATTTTTATTATACCAACATTTATTATGTAGCTCTGCTTAGTACTCCTATGAGAGTAAATAATTTATTTCAATACAGAGACAATACAGATGGTATTTTATGTATAGTAATCTCAAATTTGCTTTTGTGTCAAATGTTTCTTAAAGGACGATTGTATGTATGTTCAATTTTATGATGGTACTTAGAATTCCAGATGTGTCGTGATGCTGCCTCCATACCTCACTAACTTAAAATACCAGTGAAATAATGCATATGTACTCCAGTCGCCATATCCAAAATGCTTAAGAGTTACAAAGCGAGATTACTTACTCATTTCAAACAAAAAATATATGGATGTTCTATACAGGCCTTATAAGTGGATGTACTTTTCTCCCTTTTTTTTTTAAATCTCATAGCTGCACATGATTGGTGAAGGAAGCCGTGGGGCTGTACTGGAAATGACCCTAGCAAAAATTCTCTACACTAGCAGTGAGTATTTCTTCAAATGTGGTCACTAATTGATTTATAATCAACAGACGTATAAAAGAATTAATTCTATCACTAACTAGATTATGTAACTTAGAGTATAGTATGTAAGTTTTCTGCCTTAGTTCTTTATTTCTAAAATAAGCTTATGAATTTTCACTGGAAGAATGAATAAATGAGCAGAATTGTAAAGATAAATGAAATGAACATTTGAGGACATCCCCTATCAACATCGTTATCCTATAGTTACTAGTTATGTGTGCTTAGGCATGCAACTCAAGCTTTCTGTTTCTTCATCTGTAAAATGAGGATTATTATGGAACCAACCTGGTGGGATTATTGCGAGGACTGTGGGAGCTAACACAGGCGAAGCACTGAGAAGGGCCTAGCATTAGCACTCCAAGAGAGCTGCCTCCACCACCATCCGTCGTCACCATACCCATCGGGCAGTACATGTAAGGAGACACTTTAAGGAGCTATTTTGCAGCATCAGATAGCCTTTAAATGTACATGAAATATTCGTTCTAAATGTCTTCTCTGCTATATATTAATATGCTGGTGCAATATTAGTTAAGTCATATTGCAATAGCTTATATGGAAAAATTAATTATAAAAGTAGAAACTTAGGAATTGTTTTTAAAATTTTGATAGCAATGGTATTTAGGTAGGTTGTAGCACTTTCTAATCATTTATTCAAGAAATATTTATGGAGTACCTGCTGTATGCCAGACACTGTGTTAAGCACTATGGATATAACAGTGACTAAAATGAGTCCTTGCTTTCCTCAGACCTGGATTTTAATGAAAGTGAATAGATAATAAGTAGATAAACAGGAAAACATGGTATGTCAGATGGTGACAAGTTCTATGGAAAAATAGAAAGCAGAGAAAGAGGGGAGGGTGATCACCTACTTGTCAAATCCAGTGTACACTGACTGTCTTTATCTTAATTTCTCTTCAGCATTTGATTATCATTCTGTTTTTAGTTTGGGTGCTAAAACTCCATTCTCTCTTGGTTTATCTCCTATCTGTCTGTAAGAGGGATGATGTGTTAACATTGAGAGAGAGCACAGCATAATGTTTGAGGATAGATTCTGGATTCAAATCCTAGCTCACGTTTAACTCTGTATGTGACCTTGGGCAAGTTATAGAAACTTTGCCTCTGTTTCTTCATGCATCAAAAATGGATGAGAATAGTAGAACTTTCCTCCCTGGACTGCTGGGAAGATGGCATGAGGTAATCTTTGAAGCATCTAGCACAGCACCTGCACATAATGGACGTGTGTTTGCTGTGCTGTATACTTATTTGTCTTTCTATGACCAGTGCTTACACTTCATAGATATTTGAATGAAAGGAATCTTTTTAGTTTTTCTTCTCCTTTGTGATACCTTTCTAAGCATGTTTATTATGTACATTTGTGTTACCAAAAACTCATCTTAGACTCTTCTTTTGTTTCTTACTTCATACAGTTTCTGCTGCTTCTCATCCATACTCATGACATTAAGTGCGTCCTGTGTGCTGATGGCTCCCAATCTGTATTTCCAGCTTACACCTCTCTTCTGAGTAATTTTTTCTGCCAATTGGACACTCCTACTTGAATACCCTGTGAATAGCTCAGATTCACCACGTCCGAATCTGAATTCCTTGCCACCATTTGCCAGCCAGCCAAGCCAGAATGTCATAGTCTTCACTCTTGCACATCTGTCAACAACCATATGCTGTCTGGTTTACTTCATAGATGCATTATTAAATTATCTTCCTCCAGTCCCTCCTTACTGCTAAATACTCAGTTTAATACCTCATCCTGTCTTACCTAGATCACCACAGAAATCACAAAGTTCTTTACCTGCAGTCTTGGTCACTGCCCTCTCCCCTCCCAAATCGCTCTTCTTCAGTGCAGTTAGAATGATCTTTCCCAAATGCAAATCCAATTAGTGCATTTTACTCTTTGAAATCCTTTAATAGTTTCCCATTGTTTCTGCATAAATGCCACGTTTCTTCACACAGCCTTTCTTCATTTGGGTGCACCCTCACCTCTTCAGCTTAAAAGTCCGCCCTTATGGAGTAGGATGACACCACACATATTCCTCTCTCAGGTAACATCTTGATAATTTCAAGGCAAAAGACACAGAAATAAAGAAGTATTTGCTAAGAAGGCTCCTTTGGGTTTTGATTAAATAACTAAGTCAATGGGAAGTAGCCATTTTGTACTGCCCAAGAAGTCATGCAGCTTCATGAATTTTACTCCACCTTTTATTGGAAAAGAAGTTAACAACCTGATAGTAGCAAGATCCCATAAGGACTCTTCATGTGGCAAGAGTCTGAGAACTAGTCAGCCCTGGATCCTGCACTGTACATCTGCCTATACCTCTACCTACAGAACATACTGTGATTCTTCATACAGTGGTCCAGGTAGTCAGCAACAAGCATATTTATACTCATTATTGTTGTTCAGAAATTTTAAGGAAGATCCTACTTCTCTCCAAGTTTGAAATTTTATGAAACTCTAACTAGTAATTTTCATAATACCTGAAGGTTTCAGTCTTTGATAGCCAGATTAGCACTCTGGTAATATGTTTCTATTTGTCTTACATCCTCCCTCCTTCTCCTTCTCAAATCACTCAGAAAGAGTTCAGAATACAAAAAGCTTGCTGAAATTACTATTATGATATATTAACTAACATATTTTCCTCAATACTTTGTATTTTGTTTTAGAAACAACTCAAATTATTGGTATGAGTGCAACATTGAATAATGTTGAAGATCTACAAGAGTTCCTTCAAGCAGAATATTATACCAGTCAATTTAGACCAGTATGTACCTAAGGTTTGCACTGTACTGATTTGTTACATATCATCTTACTTAGAAAGAAAAGTAGCAAACATACTATGTTAAAAAATTCTATGGAAGTAACATAACTCCACTATGCTTTTATGCTAGTGCTAATTCTAATTAGAGTTTGTGCATAGAGAATGTTAACTGTGTGGGGTCAGGAATCTTGGCTTGGTCACTACTGTATCTGTAGCACTTGGAACATGGACCTTCAATGAATATTAATTGAATGAAATTTTCCAGACCCATTCTATTTTTCTATTTCCTATTCTGCAAGATAAATTTTTTCATTTGGTCAAAATTTAGTGATTTCTGTTTTGAGTTATGTAACTTAAGCAATTATCTTAAATTTATCTTGAAACTTACAACATTTATCTTAAATGTTGAAGTATTTTCAAATATATATGATTTGGTAGTTTAATACTTTTTTAATAAGTTAAGATTTGACATAGATTTAAATTTAACCCCCCATAATAGTATTCCCAAAGGCATGAAGAAAGTAAATAAATATAATTCTTAGTTACTTGGAAGAATCTTGTAACATAATACTCTGTCTGCAATACTTATATGCATGTTCTTTGAATAAGTTTTCAGAAAATAATTTTTGAGAATCGTCAAATTTTAATTTGAAATTTGATGTTTTCACATTTGTACCAAATATGAGAATTTTCAAGAGATATTTTCTAACCTTGTCAAATTAAATGCTATTCTTTTTTTTTAAATGAGCTTTACTTACAAATTTTTTTTCTACAAATACTTAAAAGTAGTGTGGTGGTTTAGAATTAAAACTGATGGTGTTGGCCGAGTGGTTAAGGCAATGGACTAGAATTAAAACTGATGGCTAATAAAACAAAATTTTGTATCTTGAAGAATAACACAAATAATTCCTTAGTGAAAGATAGAGTGTGAACACTTTTCTCATGTACATTCTTCTTGTGACAAATACAGAAGTGTCTGGTTTCCTTTTAGATATGTGACTGTTTAATTCAGAAGTATCTCTTCAAGGATGTTAATCTGTATTTTGATATAAGGGAAAAAGAGACAAAGAAATGATAGAGAAAAAACTTAAGTAGAAGCATATTTTATATACCTTAGAAAAGCTAAAATTTTTATATAAATGTCTTTACAATATCACAAAATTTAAAACTCTGGAAGGGGGAATATATATAGTATTAATTGCAAATGTCCTTTTACTACAAGGTTGAATTAAAAGAATATCTGAAAATAAACAGTTCGATATATGAAGTTGACAGCAAAGCTGAGAATGGCATGACTTTTTCACGGCTGCTCAATTTTAAGGTAATATTGATAACCCTTGAATCTTAAGTTCACAGACTTTGTGCCCAAGTGCTCCGGGGCACCACAGAAGTTTCACAGGGGTACCTTGGGATGGTTTAGATATTTGAGAGAAACAGCTGATGTTTGACATCTGTCAGACACCATTCAACAACTACTACTCAAGGTAGTTTCCAATGTCAACATGAGCCATACTGCATTCCTCTCTATGACATCATATCTTTGTGAAGTTGGTGTTTTTTTTTGCAGTTACTATAAACAAATTCCATGTGAAAGTCAATGTGGGACAGGAAATGAGAGTAGCTATGTCCAAACTGATTCTAAAATTTGAAAACTGTGCAGCGCCCCATTGTATGCGTATCCCATGGGACTGTTGTGGTTATTTAAGAACAAAATACAAATATTTCATTCAATAATGTTTATTATTTATTCAAACAGCTACTAAATTCTGAGGAAATATATACTTACCAAGTTGTTTAGATCTAACTACCTAATAAAACTTGTTAGATACTTCTTTTTTCCTTGGGGCCCCACGATGCAAGAAAATGTGAAGACCTCGCGCTTAAATGTGTATTTATTCAGCAGCAACAGGAAAACAGGAAACATTTATATGGACTATGTGGTTCCGATGTTGGTATATGAAAGTGGTAATGCCCACTATATTAGTGTTCTATGAAGGATATTAGAAATGGAAGAAAGGGATTTTACAACAGTTTTAGAATTCTAAAAGGTATATTATTCTAAATCTGTATCTTATTAGTTTTCAACAAAAGTCAAAGAAAGTGAGATTTTAAATAACTACACTTTCTCTATGTTCTTTGAGTTCCTTGTGTCTGCTTGATAAATATATTTTTTATTTCTGAAAATATGTTCTAGTATGATTGAATCTATGGTTTTGAAAACTATTAGTAATAGCAAAAGGTATATCTTATTTATGCAGGCCTTTGACTGTTTTTAGGATCAATCTGTGTTCCTCTCTGTGGGCTTTTTTGTTCTGCATTGGTGGAGAGGGGCATGCAGCGGAGTTATTAATAACATTGACTACTTTTACTTCTTTAATTTAAAATTAAATATACCTAACGAAACCCTAATAACCTAAGAGAAAAGTGGGATTTAAAATTTTAATGTTTAATATAGAGTTCATGTTTTAGATGATCAGGTTTATTAAGTGAGAAGTTCAAAATTACAGATGGTTTACCAACCTTCAAAGCACACTGGTAAAATGACAGGTTTTCATAGTTGCTAACTACCTTGTTCCTACATCTTGTGCAGTATTCTGACACTCTGAAAAAGATGGATCCCGATCATTTGGTAGCATTGGTGACAGAAGTTATTCCCAATTATTCCTGCTTAGTTTTTTGTCCCACTAAGAAGAACTGTGAAAACGTTGCAGAAATGATATGCAAATTTTTAAGCAAGTATGTTAATCTTTTCAAAGTATTCTGTTCTGTTATTTTTATCGTGAATTGTTTGTTCAACAAACTCTAATTACTTCCTGCACAACATTATATTTAATTGTTGCACTAGATTTTAAAGGTCTGGATCTTGCAAAAAGTTTGTGAAATTCACTTATGTGAAATAGAAAAAAATTCTAAGGCTACATGTAAGAGAATGCTTACTAATTAGATGATGTTGATTATGAAAACCTAAGGAAACTAAATTATCATTGAGGTATTCTCAGTAAATCATTCCTTTTCTTAGAATAATTTTAGGTAATATAGCACTGGCTGAGTGATGTGGACATTGAGAGAATAACATTTGACTGGGAGACTTAAGGTTTATTAGTTATACCCTTGACTTATTTTGCTTTGTGATGACAATAGTTTATTTGGGTCATAAATGTTGATGGTTAATATTGAAGCCCTTAAAAATTTGGTTCTCCAGAACCCTTAGTTAATGAATTGTAAAGGATACTTGATACTTTCTTAAAGAGACAGGACTTAACACTTTCTTTCTGAAGGAAAATTTCGTCTAAAATAATTTTCCACATTGCTTGCTGCTTTCATAAGCTGAATGCTGAGTGTAGTTTAGCCCCTTGTTTTTGCGGCTGTTGACTAAACTGTTGAGTCATATTAAGAACATACTCTTCAATGTTATTCTGTAATTTACATGTAGACAAAGCAAAATCTAGGGCTAAATGGATTCTGATCTCAGTAGGGTCTTTAACACATGATTTCTTTAGAGTCCTGTGGTACCAGCTTGTATCTAATTATTTGCCTTCTTATAATAATTCACGGGAAGCAGGAGCAGTGGGATCACTAGACTGTGTGTCTGTTTAAGTGCAGGGACTGGAGATTTTTCCCAAGTGATTGTCTCAGTTTCAAGGAAAATTATCATTTTTTACAGCTGTTACTACTCTTGACTTCTAAGTCAAGAATGGCTTTTAAACACTATTTGCTGACAGCTGCCAAAGCTGTGGTTATGTCACTTTATCTAAAAATGGTATCACAGTGCTTCTTAGCCTAGAATGCAGGTAACATCTGACTCAACTTACTTTTCCATCCTCACTTCATCTACTCTTCATTCACCCTGCAGTTATCCAAACCAAATTACTTTTTATTTATGCATTGAACTTTCCACATCATGCTTTCATTGATCATGTTTTACCCTCTCAGGAATGCACTTCCCAACCCCTTCATCACCATCTCTCTATACTGTTCTTCAAGATCCAGCTCAGATCTTAGTTTCTCCCACAAAACCTTCTCCACGTAACCATGTTTTATCTGGTCAATTATAAATAATGTCTCTCTTCTCTAAAATTATATGGAGATTATCCATATTCTCACCCCATTCAAGACTTTGTCCATGCATGGATGGGTTCATGGTATCCATCCCTTTCAGGACATTGCGCATTGGCTGGAAAGAATAACAAGTCTGCTGCCCCTACTCAGTGTTACTTCTAATTCTTATGCTGATGACTCTTGACCACTTTCTTCCCAATTCTTCACTGTTCTTCTTTTGTCTCCTTGCCTCCCATTTCTCAACTTCTTATGAAACCACTAGCCTTCTGCAGTTAACATCAGCCAGAGCTCTGTTCTTTCAATGAAGCACACTAAACACAGGGCCATATGTATTTTATCTTAGACCATATTTGTTATCAGTTTTCAGAAGTTGTTTTTTTACAGTCATTTAGTTGTACTTAGTCTTTCTTTTCTAAAAGGAATTTAAAATAATAGGTGTTTTTAGATGCAGAGATATTGTAAGCCATTACTGAGTCTTCTAAAATGCTAGTGTTAACATATGGTACATACAATTTAAAAACATATATGTATCCATCTTTAGAGAAGAAATTTTATGATTTAAAATAGAGCAAATCATCTTAAATAAAGGTATATGTTCTAGTGAGAAAAATTATTGTAACTTCTAAAGCAGAAGTCTAAACCTGGCATTCATGGATTCATACGAAGTACGGGAATAAGCTTCAGCCTATGAACCCTCTGGAATTATATGCCAGGTGTTGTGTTAATGTGAATATTTGTCTTTTTTTTCCTTAGCTTTAATCAGATTTTCACAGGGCTCTATGATTCACAAAAAGGTTAAGAGAGACTGCCTAATAGTTAATGAAATCAAAATCAAAATCCTAAGAACATTTTATGTACTTATTATCAATAAAAGTAATACTTTTTTAATAAATGAATGTTTATATGTCTCTACTAAAATTTAAATGATAGGCACATTGTCACTATAAGATGGAGGGTTCATATTTCTAACTGACCTTTTTCCTAGGGACTATTTGAAACACAGGGAGGAAGAAAAACTTGAGTTGATTAAGAACTTGAAGAATATCAGCAGTGGCAATCTGTGTCCTGTTTTAAAGCACACTGTCCCATTTGGAGTTGCTTATCACCATAGTGGTTTAACAAGTGATGAAAGGAAGCTCCTGGAGGAAGCCTATTCCATGGGAGTTCTCTGCCTTTTCACCTGCACATCCACCCTAGCAGCAGGTGTTAACCTACCAGCACGAAGGTAAGATATAAATAAACAGTGACCAGGCTCAAAACTTTTCAACTCCTAACTTGCCAGCAGTTTTGTTGTTTTATTGTTTCTCATTGGTGGGTGAAAATTTATCAAATGTTCTTTCAGCATTTGCTGAGTTGATTGGTTTTTTACCTTTAATATTTTAATGAAAAATAATGCTAGTAGATTTCCTGGCACTAGAATTGCTACTTTCTTTTGTATACTCCCTATGTGGCTTTGGTGTCAGAGTTTATTATCCTAGTTGTGTAGAAACAGTTGCTAAGCTTTCCACCAGTTGTATGATCTGAATGAGTTTATTTAACATAGGGTTGAAACCTTGGAACCTTAGAGAACTCATCCATAAAGACTTTTGAGTCCAATATCTTTTTTTCAAGTAGAACCTTGATTACTTTTTCAGTTGTTACCAAAGCTATAGGCTCTGTAATTGATTTATCTTCTTTATAATTTGTGACTTCAAAATTTGTGACACTTTTTCAAATAAATGGTCAATTTTTATAAATCAGTGAATGTTAAAAAATCTGTGTTTTCTGTTGGATGTGCAGTTTTATGTATCTCAATATCACAGTTACTGTGTTATCAGCTCCTCTATTTTCTTACTATTTATGATTCCTTGATTTTTCAGTTTCAGAGAGGTGCTAGTCTCCCACTGTAATTATGGAGTTGTCAACTTTTCTTTTTGAATTTCTAGAAGTTTTTGTTTTGTATTTCAAAACTATTTGGGTATACAAAGGTTTACTACAAATATTGCTGAATTATACCTTTTATCGATATAATAAGTCCTTGTTTTTCTCATTTAGTGATTTTACTTTGAATACTAGAACAACATGATTTTTTGCTAAGAATATCTTTTACCATTCTTTGGTTTTCAACCTGTCACTGATTAAGTTTTCCATTTTTCAGACAATGGGAAGGAAAAAAAGGAAGTTATATGTCGTATTTCTCTTATTTCAATTTTACGCTTAAAATCTTAACAGTTGAAACTAAACATATTTTTCTATCATTTTAGAGGTAATAACTATATCCTCTCCGGAACATAGCAAGAGTATAGCATATGTGGGTTCTCCTGCACTGCCTCACGTAGGCCTCACCTAGAATTTTAGTTCCAGATTTTTTATTTCTTTTCATCTCATAGTCAATAACTGCTTAAACTTACCTGTAAATTATACTTGCTTTTATGTTTACTACTGCCTCTTGTATCCCTCATCTTCCTTCTCTGGTTTATTTTGTGTTTTGCCATCCTTGAATAGTTATTTTTTAAATGCCATATTGGGGTCAAAAATTTTTGAGTCTTTGCATAGGCTGAAGATGTCTTTATTTTAGCCTCACACTTTAACACCTTGCTAGGAAAAGAATCACAGATTCAATTTTTTTTTCCCTTGGGGACTGTAGTATTGTTCCATGTCTTCTACAAGCCAGTGTTCATTTTTGTGTTTGCATAGGTTTGTTTTCCTCTGCAGAAGCTTCTGGACTTTTTAATTTTAAAATGCCATTACAGGGTATAATAATGATTGCAGCTATTACTCTCCATCCCCCATGTCAGAACAGCTTTGAACACATTGTTTTAATAGAAACTCATAACATCTCTGTGAGGGAGGTCATATTTTATTATCCACATTTTATTAAAGGGAAAACTGAGGTGCTGAACAATTAAATAGCTTAACCAACTTCACACCCAACAAATCAGTTTCAAAGCCAAGTTTGAACCTGGGAAATCTAAATCTATAATCCCAACTATCCCAGTTTAGCTACTTTTAATTCATAGGGTTTATCACTTGAGTATAAGTTTTCAATCTAAAGTTTCATGCTTTTCTTCAACTTAGAGTAATTTTTTTTCAAAATTTCTTTTACTATTTCTTTTCTTTCATTATCTCTGTTCTCTACCTTTGTAACTAGAGTTAGACAGGGTTGAAGCATTTTAGACTGTGCTTTTATATCAGCTTTTCTTTCATATTTTTTCAATCTATATGAGCTGTGTGATTTCTTCAACTTAACTTTCTATGTAACAGCATCAGTTTTTAACTATCTCATTCATCCAGTTCTTCTAATTAATTGTTTTAATGAATTTAACATTTTTTTATTAATATCCAAGAACCCTCTTCTTTTACTGCTCTTTGTTTATAATAGTCTACTCTTACATTGTGAATATAATACCCTCTAGAATTTTCTGTGGGTACTAATTAGAATTTTTTAAAGTTCTTTTCTGTTCCCTGTGTTACCTGCTTCTGTCAGTATTTATTCTGTGTGTTCTTGTTGCTTTTCTTTTATGTCATCAATTTCCTTCAAGTGCTTGGTAATCTGGACTGTCCATCATGATTATTAAATAAAGTAGTAGGTCGATTAGTATAGGTAAATGACATAGGTTTTCTCTCATCTTTGAAGAGGAAAGCTGGCTACAGACTTCTGTATATGTGAACAGGACTGAAATCACCATGTTTGTAGGTCAAAACAGTTGACTTATTTTATATAGTTGACAGTAATATAAATTCATAAATAAATATGCATATGTTTATGGTACATGGTCAGATTTTTCATTTATGGGGTATAAAATCAAAAATATCTGGAGACTAGGGCTATCTAGAGTGGAGTGATCATAAGTTTTGCAGCTTAAGGTCAAATCATGATTCTGTTAATTACTAATTTTGTGAGTAGAGGTAAGCCACTTAATTTGTGCTTCAGTTAGCCCCTTTGTTTAAATTTATATATGTGTGTGTGTGTATATATATATATATATATATATAATAAAATTAAAAATAGTATTTATTACAAGAGTTTTGTAGGAACTACAGATAATGTACATAAAGAACCTAGAACATCAAATCTTCATAAATAACAGGTACCTATTATTTTGCATTAATACATCCTTAAATTTAATACCACGTAGATATAATGAAATTAAAAATTTTTAAATATGTGCTATTGCTAGATGGAATATCACTTTTAATTGATGTTATCAATTCCATAGAGTTATTTTAAGAGCACCCTATGTTGGTAAGGACTTTATAAAGAGGAATCAATATAAACAGATGATTGGCAGAGCTGGCCGTGCTGGAATAGATTCTGCTGGGGAGAGTATCCTTATATTGCAAGAAAAAGACAAGAAACAGGTAACAGTCTGGTTGTTGGCTGGTTGGTTGATCTTCTTTTCTTGATTTAGCTCCTTCATGAGTTCATCTCTTAAAAGTTAATTTTTCATTTCCTTTAAATAATGTTTCTCTTCTATGATTAAGAATTAGAATTTGAATTAGTTTGAGTACTTTTGTATTTCAGGCAAACAATGAAAAATATTTTCCCTATTTAACTTCCATTTTAATGAGGACACTTACTAAAGTTTTACTTTTTTCTCTTTGTGTTTTTAACCCCTGCCTTCATAAGATATATGCAGTATATAAAGTTTTATACAGAATACTATTTATTTTTTATAATAACACAAAACATAGTATTGCTTTATCTTTTGTAGGTATTGGAGTTCATAAGCAGACCCTTAGAAAACTGTTACAGTCATCTCATTCAAGAACTTACCAAGGGAATTCAAACTTTATTTCTCTCTTTGATTGGTTTGAAGGTATTTTTTTTAGTATTTTAAATCTTATTACTGTTGCCTGAGATAGTAGTGGTTAAAAAGTTATGAAAACTGTAAAGTGTGAAAAAAAAGTAAATTTCTAATTGAAAAAGAAATCTGTGATAAATCTGAATCTGGATTTATATGTACATTTTTAGTTCTTTGAGTTGTAAAGAATATGAAAGATCAAAAATCATAACTAGGCATCCATTACAAGTAAGAGACAAGTGGATACTGTGGGGGATATAAGGAGCTGTAAAGATATGGGTCCTGATGTGGGATAATCCAGCATCTCTGCCCTTGCAAAAATAAGATTCACCTGTAGTGCTGTGACCATTCTAGGATATTATAACCATTTGTGAGATCTGCTTAGCCTATAGCAAGCAGAAAATTTTTTTTAAATACACAACAGGAAAATACTCTTTTTCCTAAGATTAGAAATTAGCTCTCTTTTGTCGGGTTACTTTTTTTTTTTTTCCTTGTCTTTTCAAAAAAATTGATGTATACTTGGCATAAAATATCTGATTAGTTTCAGGTGTACATCATAGTAGGGTTTCTCTTGAGTTAAACTTCTTTTGTACAGTTACTCTTTATTTATTTATTTTATATCATTTTTAAAAGGTGGAATAAAGTTGATATACAATATTATATTGATTTCAGATATGCAACAGTGACTTAATAATTACATACATTATTAAATGCTTGCCACAATAAGTGTAGTTATCCCATTATCATACCAAGATACTATAATATTATTGGTTATATTTTCAGTGTTATAGTTCCATCCTATGTCTAACTTATTTTACAATTTGTAGTTTGTACTTCTTTATCCCCTTCGTCTATTTGATCCATTTCTCAACCCCCCTCTCTATTGTAGCCAACAGTCTGTTGTCAGTATTTGTGAGTCTATTTTTTGTTTGTTTGTTTTCTTTTTTAGATTCCACATAAAAGTGAAATCATGTGGTATTTGTCTTTCTCTGCCTGGCTTATTTCACTTAGCAGGATACCCTCTAGGTCCTTCCATGTTGTAGCAAATGGCAAGACTTCTTTTTTATGTCTGAGTAATATTCCACTGTGTATATGTACTACATCTTCTTTATCCATTCCTCTTTCAGTGGCCACTTTGGTTGCTTCCATATCTTTGCTATTGTAAATAATGCTACAATGAACATAGAGGTACATAAATCTTTTTGAATCAGGGATTTTGTTTTCTTTGGGTAAATACCCAGAAGTGGAATTGCTGGGTCATATGGTTATTTCTATTATTAGTTTTCTGAGGACTCTCCATGCTGCTTTCCAGAGTGGCTTCACCAGTTTACATTCCCTTAACAGTGGAGGTGAGCTCCCTTTTCTCCACATCCTCACCAACACTTGTTATTTCTTGTCTTTTGGATAGTGGCCATTCTGACTGGTATGAGATGATATCTCATTGTGGTTTTGATTTGCATTTCCCTGATGATCAGTGATGTGGAGCATCTTTTCATGTGCCTGCTGGCCATCTGTATTTCTTCTTTGGAAAAATGTCTGTTCAGTTCTTCTGCCTATTTTTTAATCAGGTTATTTGCTTTTTGATGTTGAGTTATATGAGTTCTTAATATATTTTGGATATTAACCCCTTGCTGGATATGTCCTTTACATTTATATTCTCCCATACTGAGCTTGCCTTTTTGTTTTGTTGATGGTTTCCTTTGCTGTGGCAGAAGCTTTTTAGTTTGATGTAGTCCCACTGTTTATTTTTGTTTTTGTTTCCCTTGCCCAGAGAGATGTATCCAGAAAGAAATTTCTCATGCTGATGTTCATGAGAGTCTTGCCTAGTTTCCTTTTGAGAATTTTATGGTTTCATGTCTTACATTTAGGTCTGTAATCCATTTCAAGTTTACTTTTGTGAAGGAGTTAGACAGTAACCCAGCTTCATTCCCTTGAATATAGTTATCCAGTTTTTCCAACACCATGTACTGAAAAGACTGTCTTTTCCCCATTGTTTATTTATGGCTTCTTTGTCACATATTAGTTGATTGTATAAGTATTGGTTTATATCTGGGCTCTCTATTCAGGTACATTGATCTGTGGGTCTATTCTTGTGCCAGTACCATACTGTTTTAATCACTGTAGCTTTATAGTGTAGCTTGAAATCTGGGAGCGTGATAACCCCAGCTTTGTCTTTCTTTCTCAAGATTTCTTTGGCTGTTTGAGGTCTTTTATGGTTACTTATAAACTTTAGGATTATTTGCTCTAGTTCATTGAAAAGTGCCATTGGTATTTTGATAAGGATTGCATTTAATCTTTAAATTGCTTTGGACAGGATGGCCATTTTGACAATGCTAATTCTTCCTTTTCATGAGCTAGATTTCCATTTATTTGTGTCTTCTTCAGTGTCTTTCATCAGTTTCTCATTGTTTTCAGGGCACAGGTCTTTCACTCCTTTGGTTAGGTTTATTCCTAGGTATTTTATTCTTTTTAATGCAATTGTAAATGGAGTTATTTTACTGATATCTCTTTCTGCTAGTTTGTTGTTATTATATAGGAATGCAACAGATATCTGTATATTGATTTTGTATCCTGCGATTTTGTTGAATACAGTCATTAGTTCTGATAGTTTTTTAGTGGAATCTTTAGTGTTTTCTATAAATAGTATCATGTCATCTGCAAATAGTGACAGTGTAACTACTTCCTTACCAATTTGGATACTTTTTATTTCTTTTTCTTATCTGACTGCCATGGCTAGGACCTCCAGTACTATGCTGAATAAAAGTGGTGAGAATGGGCATCCTTGTCTTCTTGTTCCTGATCTTAGAGGAAAGCTTTGAGCTTTTCCCCATTGAGTATGATGTTAGCTGTGGTTTTGTCATATATGGCATTTATTATAGAGGTATGTTCACTCTTTACCCACTTTATTGAGAGTTTTTGTCATGAATGGATGTAGAATTTTGCCAAATGTTTTTCAGCATCTATTGAGATGATCATATGGCTTTTATCCTTCTTTTTGTTAATATGTTGAATCACATTGATTTGTGGATATTGTACCATCCTTGTATCCCTAGAATAAATCCCACTTTGTTGTGATAAATGATCCTCTTGATATTGGTCTGTTCTTTCTTTTTTTTAGTGTCTTTGTCTGGTTTTATATTAGAGTAATACTGACCTTGTAGAATGAGTTTGGAAGTAGTCCCTCCTCTTCTGTGTCTTGGAATACTTTAAGAAAGATAGGTATTAGCTCATCTTTAAATGTTTGGTAGAATTCACCCATGAAGCCATCTGGTCCTGGACTTCTGTTTGTTAGGAGTTTTTGGATTACCAGTTCAATTTCATTACTAGCAATCTGTCTGTTCACATTTTTTGTTTCTTCCTGGGTCAGTCTTGAAGAGTGTACATTTCTAGGAATTTAACCATTCTTATAGATTCTCAAATCTATTGGCATAAAATTTTTCATAGAATTCTCTTGTAATTCCTGAATTTTTGTGGTGTCTGCTGTAATTTCTCCTTTTTTCATTTCTTATTTTGTTTATTTGTGTGCAGTCTCTTTTTTTCTTGATAAGTCTATCTAAGGGTTTCTCTACTTTATCTTCTTGAAGAACCAGGTCTTGGTTTCATTGTTTTTTGTTTTTTGTTTTTTTTTACTATTGCTTTCTTAGTCTCTATTTTATTTACTTCTGCTCTGCTCTTTATTATGTCCCTCCTTCTACTAACTTTGGGCTTTGTTCTTCTTTTTCTAGTTCCTTTAGTTGTAGGGTTAGATTGTTTATTTGAGATTGTTCTTGTTTCTTGATGTAGGCCTGTATTGCTATAAACATCCCTCTTAGAACTGCTTTTGCTGCATCCCACATATTTTAATTTGTTGTGTTCCTGTTTTCATTTGTCTCCATGTATTGTTTGATCTCCTTTTTGATCTGTTCCTTGAGACATTTATTATTTAGAAGCATACATGTTTGTGCTTTTTCCAGTGTTTTTCTAATAATTGATTTCTATTTGCATGCCACTGTGGTCTGAGAATATGCATGATAAAATTTCAGTCTTCTTAAATTTGTTCAGACTTGTTTTGTGTCCTAACATGTCATTTATTTTGGAGAACATACCATGCACACTTGAGAAAAATGTGTAGTCTGTTGCTTTTGGCTAGAATGTCCTGAAAATATCTGTTAAGTCCATCTGGTCTAATGTGTCATACAGTGCCTCTCTTTCCTTTTTTGTTTTCTGCTGGGATGATTGTCCATTGACGTAAGTGGGGTGTTAAAGTCACCTACTGTAATTGTGTTGCTGTCAGTTTCTCCCTTTAGGTCTGTTAGTATTTGGTTTATATATTTAGGTGCTCCTATGTTGGTACATAGAATGTTTATGATTGTTATATCCTCTCATTGGACTGATCCCTTTATCATCATGTAATGTCCTTCTTTGTCTCTTGTTACATTCTTTGTTTTAAAGTCTATTTTGTCTGTTACATGTATTGCAACTCCAGCTTTCTTTCTTTCTTCCTTCCTTCCTTTCTTTCTTTCTTTCTGTTTATTTATTTTTTCATTTATTTATTTGGTATTGTTGACATACACTTACATGAACAACATTGTGGTAACTAGATTCCCCCCATTATCAAGTCCCCACTACATACCCCATTACAGACATTGTCCATCAGCATAGTAAGATGCTATAGAATCACTACTTGTCTTCTCTGTGCTATACTGCCTTCCCATGCCCACCCACCCCCAGCATTTGTGTGCTACTCGTAATGCCCCTTTTTCCCCTTATCTCTCCCTTCCCACCCATCCTCCCCAATCTCTTTCCCTTTGGTAACTGTTAGACCATTCTTGGGTTCTGTGAGTCTGCTGCTGTTTTGTACCTTCAGTTTTTTTTTTTTTGAGAGGGCATCTCTCATATTTATTGATCAAATGGTTGTTAACAGTTAACAACAATAAAATTCTGTACAGGGGACTCAATGCACAATCATTAATCCACCCCAAGCCTAATTCTCATCAGTCTCCGATCTTCTGAAGCACAACGAACAAGTTCTTACA